ATTACATGGAGAAGAGGAAGCCGAATTCAATCAAGGATCTATTTTCCAACAAAAATGATAATCGCTATATTAATACTAGGACCGAGCAGAACAATTCATTGCATATGACCAACGAGTGCCTCGTTTCAACCAAGTTCTTAAAACTGCAGCTGTTTGTGTTATCCTTTACGATATACTTTCTGCCAATTCTGCTCTCCTGTATCCTACAAATGCGAGGAAAGCACACGTGTAAAAATATACTCGCGATGTTAAGAGCAAAAACTGATCTTACTTCCAAAGATGATAAAAAGATTCATCGTCAAAATTCAGTAGAAGGATCCAGCACGTCACAGAGATCAAGAAATCACAGTTGGACAGATATAGATGCAATAGAAAAGGATCATGAAAGTTGCAAGGAAAATGAAAGCATGACTTTAGAGATAGAATGCATGGTAAGAATATTTGATACTATCACGTTATCGTTGATTCTGTGTATAGTTTTCTGGACACCGGTATTCTTGGGGACTCTACTGAGAGTACACTCGTGTATCCGCGCTCCACAGTGGTTAAACGACATAACATTCTTAAGCGCTGTTTCTTTCGGTATCGTAAGAAATGCCCTGAATATAAATATAATCAGAATTCAAGAAGCTTGTAGAAGTGACAATATGAAAGAAAATAGGATACATCCAGTTAAATAAGTCGTATATGTGTGTATAAGTTTAATATAAGTTATATTATTCAATATATATATTCGAATATTTTAATATAATAATAATAATGATAGTAATCAGAATTGACTTTTTTGCGCTTCTAGCAAAAGACACGGATGATACAATGTCAATATAGTGAAGCATTACATCTTTATTATTTGTCAAAAGAGAAATTTTACACTGTAAATCTTTCGTTCGTTTTTTGTGATTAAACTTTTGGAACTTAAAGTGACAAGTATATGTTATTTGGCGAAAGCGAGAAAGAGAGTTCTAGTACAGGAATAAAAAAACAGATCATGCGTTACACTTGTGTTACTTTGTGTCTTTCACTGGAAAGCACCAATCTCTGGTGTAACACAATAATCACTTCGTCTCAGTTTAATAGCAAACAATAAAGATGTAATGATTTACAGTGGATACTTTCCACTTGGTAACACAAATCGACAGAAATGTAGTTTTATCTTTGTTATTGACTGGAATGCCAAAAAAGATAAGGTATTTTTGATGCACTTAATGACACATTCTATCTTTGTTAATCACTGAATGCGAAGAAAGATAAAATAATGTTTGCATCGACTTATGTCACTAAACATGGAACACCTTGTGTTATGTTAGTTGCTTTCCATTTTTGCACAAGTGAAACACTGATAATGAGTCTAAAGTACCATATTTTACACTCAGATATTGCTTGCAGACATTGCTTGCTTACTTTAGTGACAAAGTCAATATAATAATAGGTTTTAAAACCTCGCTTTAACATGAGTTAACAAAACTCAGTAAAGTAGATGGCTATGTTTCAAGCTTGTGTAGATAAAAACTGAGTTGACTCTCACATGTCAGAATGAAAAGGAATGTGCATTCAACTGAGTCATATGCCTATATTCACAATTAGAACGTATATTTAAGGTCTTTAAATTTATTTTTAGATGTGCTCAGTCATAATCAATAAAATAATTCATAGAGCATCCAAAGATTAAATTTAAAAAAGTCTTATAAACTTTTTACAATGTCATAAGAAATTAATCACAGTCGAATTCGTAAGAAAAATTATCGATTGGACAATGATTTATTGTAGAAAACCTATTAAATATAAGGCCTAACTATGAATACAGGCAATAACATGACAAATAAGAATTATCTGAGTTTCGATGTAAATGGAAAGCAACTATTACGTCATTTGTCCCTTACTGGAAAGCACCCTTTGCATCAAGGATTACATACATTCTGCAGTCGTGAAATAATCGTTTTTGGTACATGCTGATGTGGCAGAGAAAGGCAAATTTGTCAAAAGTATCAAAAGTATATTTTATTCGATTTTGTCTCAAATACCAAAAATAACAAAAATATCAAAAGTAGATATATTTCTTTACATACAAAGGTATTAAAACCCGATTGTGACTTAACTCTAATCGCCTGTACCATTATAACGAAAATATTTCTCGTGCTGTACAAAACAAATACGTATGATTAGGTAATCGCATTTTATTCCAGAAGCGCGTTTCTAGCGTCAATATTTCCTGCCTATTAGCCTAGTAAATATTGTTTTACTAAAACAGGCGAAAGTGCCTATTTGCGAATTGAATTGAAATTCGTAAAGGGTACGCATAGATAGGACGTTCGCTTACTGTGCACTTATCACTTATCACGAGCAAAGTTTCGGTCGCTATGCGGACTGTAGATGTAGATGATTGTCGGCAGAATCGGCAGCGTCCGAGATATCGCGGATGCCCTTTCTAACGGCCCTAATTGGATTCCACACCGTCACGACGGAGGCAAGTACATCGATCAGGCGAGTGAATTCCTTTGATTCTTGCCGTCGCCCGCTCGCGAATGCGGCCAATAACGGGTAATGAAACACAACAATTAACATCGGAGTAGTACCCGTACTGTGCGTTGTGCAGTACTACGCGTACGTCACAAGCCCGACTTAACCTCCTCGTCAGCGCGCTTAACAATGCGCGCGCAACTTACATAATTGCATATCGACAAGTTGTTTTTTTTACACGTACGGTACTTACATACCGCACAGTAAAAACGATGCGTGCGTTGCCGGCTTCGAATTTACGAGAAGTATTACTCACGTCGATGTCTTTCAACAGGGACTCTCGTGGAATCGATAGAGGTCCCAACAATCAACATTTGAAAAACTTTTGCCGATTTTTATCAAAATTTAAAGTTTAAGTAAATAATTAAATTTAGCAAAATTTCAAATTTTAAGCTCAAAATTGCAATGAAACGATAATAGTGGATAAAGAGGTCAATATACAAATAATTAGGTCAAAATCTATTTTAATAAATTGGTTCTAAATTTTGATCTAATTACTTGTTCGTATATTGACCTTTCTATTATTATTATTAGAAAATTTAATAAAAATTTAGTAATAAAACTGAAAACAAATCTTTGCCGAATTCAATGAGGTTTAATAAATAATTAGGTTTAGTAAAATTCATTTATTTAAGAACTTGGTGCGAACTCTACATTTTACCGGCTCTAATATTTAAAAATATTAGAGTTTATAATATAATTCAATTATATACATTTTTTATTTTACAAATATTGTTTCAACTTATTTGTTATATATAATGCATATATAATATTTTTATAATCAGAATATTGCACTTCTTATTGAGAATAAAGTCACATAAAATTCTTTACTATTCATATATCATTGTTATCTTCAGGATGTAATAATTTAATATAATATGTGCACTATGTTAATGTTAAGTTAAATGAATAGTCTCATAATGTATCATAAAATAAAATAAATATAGAAAAGAATTGATTATTTTTTTATAATCTAAAATCTAAACGAAAGATGGAGACAAATCGAATTGTATAAAAGTACAACAGTTAATTATATGTGATTGTTTATATAGTAAAGTTTTTTTATGCCGTTGATTATATATATATATATATATGAGATAGCAATGAATGGATGGATTAAATAAGAGAAAGAATCTTATTTGCAATCGAAATAAATGTTGGTGCTCTCTCTTGATAACGAATTATACACCAATTTGCAAATACATTTTTCAGTTCTGTAAACTGCACATCTATTCAACTTGTCAAACTTAAAAGAATTTTTAAATCGAAATTGAAAATAACTTCACAGAATAACCACACAACACAGTTCTCTGAGTGATATCCTGAGGACATCTCTTATGTCTGTTTCTATCAATGTAGATTAACTTTAATTTGAATTCAACTGACTCTCCATATTTTTCTAATTTTTAGAATTATAAAAATTTAATATGAAATTAAAAATTAAATAGAATTAAAAATGATGAGTTGGTTGAACTGAGATTAAAATCAAATTACATTGATAGAAATAGACATTAGAAAAATATGTTGTGGAGATACATTGATTGTCAATTTAATAATAAGCATCTTAATGAGCATCTTAAAATACAAGAAAAATATATTGACAAAGTTGTGTTAATAGAAGCTCTACTATTCCAAACTATATTGTAGATTTGTATCATCCTCTCAGGCTACAATTATCGTACGTCTTTATCAACATGGAGCTAAGTAAATACTGATTGATTTATGATATCTTAAGACTGTACTTAAGATAGTTTTACATATAAGATCCGATTATGAATACCGACTTTGGTTATATAAGATAGTTTATTTAACTTGTTTCTTTTATTATTTTAACTGAAACTATTAGGAGAAAAATTATCTAATCAGCTAAACATTAGCTATTTTTATATGAAAATTATCTAATTAACTAAACTTACTTAGCAAATATCTATTTACCTACGTAGACTGATTACATATAAAGGGCCGGGTAAAATAATAATAACAGATCATAACTTTGCGCCACCGCCACATTCTAACCGCTTTTAACCGCAACATGCGCTTCTGCAAAATTACATATAAACTGCACTCGATCATCTCTTAACTTGGCAGTTGGCACGCGAAGTTTCCAAAGAAATATCGAGACGTCGGTACGAGATGGTGAAAAAGTCTACAATAATCGGATCGCACCTATCGATCGGCTAATGTCGGACACCCTTTGTTTTCTGTCCAGAATTTCGTAAACAAACGCGAGTTTAGGACGTTTAGGTCAGTTTAGAGGCTTGTTCTTTTTCGCTGAAACTAACTTCTTGCATTAACTTGATTCATCTTTCTTCCTTTTCCCTCCACGTTGAAGAGAAAAAGAGAAAAAGAGAAAAGTGATCTTAAGTAAACATACATACGGCGCACGCGTGACAATCAATTTACCGTTGCCGCCAATTTCTGGTATTTTTTCAGTATTATTTTGTCTCTCATTGCTTTTCGCTCTCAAGGGAATTGACGTAAACGTATAAGACTGTAAGAGTTTTCTTTTATATCCTCTCAATTGCAGCTGACAGTAGCAATTAGTAGCGATGTCGAAGTACACGTGTTTGAGGCCTGCCGGCATGTCCGATGAGGAGGACGACGAGGACGATGACGTCTTTTACTCTCTCGAGGAGGTACGATTAACAGGTGCATGTAAAATTTTGGGTGCTTTCCAGCAAAGACGCAGATGATACAGTGTATCATGACGTCCTTGATGTTTGCTAATGTTAAATGAAGATGACATGATCACTGTTGATCACTGGTTGCCGCTTGCTGGATAACACCATTTGTTTCATTATATGGCGTTTTTCTCACTTTGTTTCTTAAATAGAAAGAGTCTACTGTCAAAAAATATAATTATACTTCATGGAAGGAGAAGACAAAGGAAGAGACAAAAACTAATTCCGAGATAAACAATGAGGAACATATCTACGAGGATCGCCTTGTGAAGGCATGTACAATGGGGAAATTGAAAGTGATACAGGAATATCTTGAACGTAAACATTATATGCATAAAACTGATTCTACAATGAGTCAATAGTTGGAAATCTAAGTCTTAATCATTTTTAACCTAAATAAGTGACTGATTTTTTGCATCTACAAGTAAATTGTACAGTGAGTCATTTAGCTCAACTAAAGTCGAATTTGGCCAGTTTAAAACAAATCAGTAGTCTTAGTCATACAAGTTGGCTGTTTGCTAATTTCACCGATTCATTGATAAGACTTGGAATTATTATCTACTGACTTCTTATAGAATGAATGTAATATATATCAAGTTCCTATCTTTTATTTGCAATTATATTTTTAGATTTTTACTCTCTACTTTCTACTTTTGCAATCTGGGTATTTTTTATTCAGTACAGTTTTTTTTTACTATTCTAGGTTTTCAGAAAAAATTCACAGCTACTTTTCAATGTCTCCGTTATGTTATTAAGATGTTTTTTAACTTAAATGATAAAATTTTTAATCAAAATTGAATTTGAGCAAAAATGAGAATGAAATTTGAGAGTAAAATTTCACTTGTGCAAAAAGATCCAGATTGCCATTGAAGGATTAATCAAATTCATGTTTCTTTCTCCTTTGTATTAAATGTATATACATTAATAGATAATGCTCACCGAATATTTTTGTAGAAGAACATGATGTCAATAAGTTCCTATATACTGGATGGACTTTATTATTATATGCAATTTCATCGGTGGAACTAGAAATAGTAGAGCATCTTTTGGTACATGGTGCAAACCCGAATAAGCATAAAGGTATGGATTGATGTTATTTTATTCGTTATTTTAAGTTTCACATAAAGTTTCTATAATTACTAAATGGATTACAGATGGATTTACACCCCTTATGGCGCTGTGCAATTCTACAAAGGGAACATCAGAAAACTCTATGAAATGTCTTGAGCTTTTAATACAAGCGAAAGCTGATGCAAATATTACAAATAAGCACAAGTAAAATTAATATTATATATAAATAAGAAATAGAGAAGCTAAATGTCTCTCTGATATTACAATTATTAGCATATTTACTAACTTAATTTGACTGACGATCACAATTTTTACAGGGAAACGGCTCTAATGTACGCCTGTATGTCAAAGGATGCCGAATTTGTCTTCGAGCTTATAAAATACGTACAGAACATTGATGCTTGCGACAGCGATGGGAAATCAGTAAGTTTCAACATCATTAAGTATATTAAAGATTTTCCTATATAAATTTTCGATCCAATTATAGGCATTGATGTATGCCGCTTCAGCTAATAAACCTGATAATGTCAAAATTCTTCTGGCGCATAATGCGAATACTTCACTGACAGACTTACACAATTTATCTGCCAAAGATATCGCAGATACAAAAGGATTCTCAGCGGTAATTGATATCTTTCTCATCGTTCAATTTTACTTCAACTGTAAATTCTTTCATTTTTCATTTTCTAGATATCTGCTCTGTTGAATGAAAATGAAGAAGAAATAGAAATGTTTTACGAAGTATCTGAGACAACTTGGAAAGATTTATTTCCAAATTTATATCCTAGAAAAAAGGAACTTGTAGATTATGATATATCGGTGATGTTATATGGAATGGGTTTGGAAAAATATGGCAATTTATTTCAAGGAATGGATATTAAAACTTTTTTGCAATTGACAGAAGATGATCTTTGTTGTCTAGGAGTAGATATTACTGTTCATAGAGATCAATTCTTAGAAAGTCTTGAAAAATTTCATAACAGGAGGTGGCTTTTAAACAGTTTTGGCAAACTTAAGAAAACTGATTCGTATACGTATGTTATATTTTTTTATATTTTTTTTATAAGAATATATGAAGCAAAATAATTCGTGTAATAATAGTATACATATAAATGGTTACAGAATTTATGACGGCGTAATATCGTTAACAAATGCAAAAAAGCAGATTGGTGTGATAGCTTCTAGTTTTCAGTACATTAAAAATAATTTGTTGAAAGCTGCAAACGAAAATATCATTTTGTCTTCTGAAAAAAGAATAGAATATGAAGAAGAACTGAGGAAAACGCAGAAAACTTTGAAACTTCTAAAGAATGAGATAATACAAGTTAAAAAACTAACCCAACAGGTATCACGTTATATATACAGCTAATATGAAATTTAAATCGTACAATTTTATATTACTTCAATATTATCGTATTTTTAAATTACAGGTCGACAAGGAAGCTAATATTGGTGCACCGGCAATTTGGATTGGTCCCAAGAGTACCAAATCCAGTTGGACTATAACAATAAGTATTACATTAATGGTAGGACTATACTTGTGCAAAAAAATGTATGTTCAAAGATTATGGAATATACATAACATTAGAATATCTTCAATACTTCGTTTTCGAACAAATTTACCATATTTTTTCGAATAAATTTAAATATTACAATGTTTTAGTACAATCAAGTTTACAATTATGCAATTAATTATATATAATTACTTAAAATTTAGTTCCTATAGTTTATATACATTTGGAAAAATATGTTTGTATCGGGAAATATATGATTTTTATTAGTATATTTGTACTAATTAATATATATATATATTTTTTTTTTATTGACTTGAGTGTTCTCTCAAGTTAGCTAATTTCATCATCTGTGGAAAGAGAGGGTGAAATGATGGCAGATTTTGTTGACGGATTGTTAACTGGTAACGTTCCAATGGTCCACTGCATAGCGCTAATCTGTCCCTTTCATTCGGATGGCTGTCCATCCACTGAGATAATCGGCCTACAGACCATCCAGCGCTCTGTGTGAGATAACATAAAATTTATTAATTTCCTCATATAAAATGTAATCATTTTTTCTTTAATAAGTCTAAATAAATTGATGTTTATAAGAAATCCATTTCACCTGATGTGGTGATGCTAATTCGGGAGGCGCGCCAGAAAATAAATGCAGGAGAATAAGAGATGGTGATACGCTACTTTCTCCTTGTCCTTCGAGAATTTTTTCTACCATCTTCTCGGGATTGAGGGGAAGTAAAGCTTTTAGCGCTCGCAGTATTCTGTATTGCTGTTGCTCGAGTAGACCCATCTGACCGCCACGATACAATGGCGTCACAGCTACTTCCATCTAAAACTCGCAATCTGTTTCATCTATATCTATAATCGATATATTTGTCTTTACATAAACGAGACATACCTGAGCGAAATCTACCAGAAGTTTTGCTTTTCCAAAATCAGTCAAAGGTCTCAATAAGCAAGCATGACGCACAAATAATTCTATACATCTCGACGCGACTACTTTACAACTGTAATGATATTAACATTTAATAATCTGTTTTTGATGAACAATAGGATAAAAAGAAACAAACTTACCTTTCAGCTACAACCACTTGATTTTTGTACGGTAGTAAGAATGTATTTACAGATCGTAGGATGAAACCTTGCAATTCACGCATATAAAGAGAACAGCCAATTTCCTTTCCTAGAGGGCTACTTGTGCTGTATAATAAAAATAATATGTGATGTGAGAACAGTAGATGAAAATGAAAGGAAAGAACAACTTACTCTCTAAATTCAGGATCATCGTGCATCGTTAAAATAATACTTTCGATCGCATCACTAATAGAAGTTAACAGCGGCGCGAGTAAATTCTTCGTTAATTCATCTGTTTCTTTGAGCGCCGTGGTAATGACAACGCCGCCTTCGGAGGATAAACCTCCTGCCAGATTAGCTATTACACGATTTGTCTGGCTGGAAAGATAATGGAGAAGATTCGCGAGCGTAACATTTGTCTGTTGACCAGTAGTAGGGGAATCGATTACTTGGCTGGCCTCACCGCCTGTCACCACACTTTGCTCGCATTTCAAGCAGAATAGTCTTATTGCTTTTCCTACATTACGCGACACCACAGTTGAAAGTCCATCGTCCACCAGTGATACGCTGAGTTCACTGGAAGCGGAATATAATTCTGCTATAGTTTATTCAATAGATAAGATGTATATATGTAAAAAATATGCCAATCCTACTTTGTAATCATACGTATGAGACTGTCAATCTCGTCATGCGTCGGCAAACCGTCGCCAGAAAACATATTGTGAACTGGATCCAGAAGTCGAGACACGGAACGTGATAAATATGCGTTTTCGAACGGTAATAAGACATTGCGGCTATATTAAAGACATAGACATTAATATAAAGCTTCGTATGTCATTTATATCCGTCTATTGAGAAGTACTTACTCAATACCGTAAATCCCAATACTGTGAGACCTTTCTTTCAAACGTTTACTCAAGTCTAAAAATATTCTTAAAAATTTTGGATATTCTCCTTCCAGGGCTTGCTTTACAAATGACGATCCTGCAAGATCCTTTATTGAAACTTTCTTTAAATTAAATTCAGTATTTAATATATACGTATAATAATTTACCTTGAGCACGTTCGATCAAAACTTTCGCAAGAAGAGCATTTACTTTATCCCAAAATTTCTCGGATAAATCGTGAAATCCCTTCATATGATGCTCCAATAATATTCTTTGCAACAATTCAATCTAGATATAAAACAATGTTGTTTGAAAATGACTGAACGAAAAAACGAATAAAATGCATATTGTTGTCCGTTTACTTGTAGACATTGCGTATATAAAGTATCTTGGAAAAGACGTTCAAGATTTTCCCAAATTCTCGTGCGTAAATTTCCAGACGATCCAGGCGACGGAATCGCAGCTCTGCCCGGCGCTCCACGTTTTCCAAAATCCGGATTTGTTACGAAAGATACATCCAATGATTCTGTGGAAATTCTTTCTATTTCAGCCAAGGTAGACTCTATAGTTGTATCCACAGCGCTGCTTATTATTCCTAGATTTTGAAAGACCTGCACAGCCGTGCTTACCTACCCATATATATAGATATTAGTGCAAATATATTATAATTATAGTAATATAGTTAAACTTATAATTAATATCATGTATTTTATTTGTAGATTCAAATTAAGCCGTTATTAGCCGTATTAAAAATAATGTATAATACCTTCGTCCTATCCATCGCCTGTAAACCTTGTGTTAATGTATGAGTGGCAATTCTTTGCACAGTAACTCTTTGAGTTTTTATAGCTTGTTGATCATCTGCGATTACATCTAGGCCATTAAGATCTGTGTCTGCCATCAATTGTTCTGTAAATATAAATTTCACAATATAACATAGTATATAAGATTAATAAAGAAACACAAAATGGTATATATAGTTATATATGTACCAAGCTCATGCAGACTATTAGCAGCTTTAACAATATCTGGCCCTTGCGTAATGCTACTCATTTGAGCATTTAAACGTTTCGATAAATGTTGCATCCTAGAGACTCTTCTCAAAAGATCGGAGGTTTCATGAAGTCGTGCTAATACAATCGTTTGCATTTCAATTCTATTAAATGGATCGATAATCTTGCCACGTAATCGCTCTACTGCTGATAAGAGACTCTGAAATAGAAATTATTATATTGCATATCCTTTTAAATTCAGATTGACATTAATGTTTCCTTACTTACTTGTATGTGAGATTGCATTATAAAAAGTACTCCTTCTAATTTTTCTACCCATGTTGCTTGAGATAGTAAATCCTCGTGATTCACAAGTACTTGCCTTTGCAGTTCAGCATTCAGCACCTCAATAGCTAGAAACAATAGTTATTATAATTATTATATGTATTATTGTTACATTTACTGTAATTATTATAAGTATTTATTATTATTATGTCGATATTTATAGGACATAAAGCAATTTGAATTTTACCTTGTCCCAACTTGTTTAATTGTTGAGCCACTGACAACAATTGGCTGACGTCAGTCTTTTTGGAGTCGACGTCCAACAGTTGTTTAAAGAATTCTGAAATTGATGTATATTTTATTAGCTCTTCATAAATTTTTATTCGGCAGACATTTGTTTTTCAACTTACGATCATTTTCGATATCTTCCCAACTTGATATTTCACTCATTTTTAGTTTACAAAATACAAGTAAATAACATCTATATTTCGGGAGAGCAAAAAGATAAATCTGTCGGAAAGGAGTGACATGCGCATGCGTCGCAATCATATGACTGTCTAGGGAATTTCGAGAAACTGACGTTTAGATTGTCTATCCTTTCGAAAAAAGCAGGCAACTTAAACCTAAACAGCAATTTTTCAAAATTCCCTAGGGAGATAAAATGAGAAATCTGAACTTACGGCATATTGTTATACATAATATGATAAACATTTCCGATTTTATGCATTAATATTGAAATTATCCATCTCTGTAGTTTAAAATTTTATCTTCAAGCACAATTTATTATTCGCAAAGATGATAAACAGTCTCTTTATTATAAATTCTTCAGGGTAAGTACATTATAGCTTGATAAAGAAAGTAGATCACAAGTTTGACATATTATTTTACGAATCACAGATTTGCATTTCTCACAGAGTTTATACATTTTTTATCATTGCTTGTACGTTTATATTTCTTACGCGACATTTCTAATATGTTCTGTATGCTTACAGAGATGTCTTCATGGAGAAACATTGGAAAAGTGCAGTTGCACGTTCGCTCTGCGACTACTTCTTTGATCAACAGCGACGAGTCTTGTCACCGGAGGATACACCTCCGGTGATAGCTACTCCACATCATTATCTCATTAGTATATATCGCTGTAATATGTTCTTCGTCGCAGTGTGCATGACAGAAGGTAATCTTTGATAAATAACATCATTTGTACAAAGTGATGTCATATGTAGACTAATATAAACATTCTTTACTTCTTACAGTCCCACCATTATTTGTTATTGAATTCTTGCACAGAGTAGTGGACACTTTTGAGGATTATTTCAGCGAATGTACAGAAACTATTATAAAAGAAAACTATGTGGTAGTATATGAATTGCTGGATGAAATGTTAGATAATGGTTTTCCTCTGGCGACAGAATCTAATATATTGAAAGAATTGATCAAGCCACCTAATATTTTACGCACCATTGCGAATACTGTTACAGGCAAATCCAAGTAAGTATATTTCAATTCATGTTAAACATTTACATAGATGTACTTATTAAGGATTTTTATTCATTTTATAAATTTGTACATAGCGTTAGTGCAATTTTGCCAAGTGGACAATTATCCAATGTTCCTTGGAGACGAACTGGAGTGAAATACACTAACAATGAAGCGTACTTTGATGTTGTTGAAGAAGTCGATGCGATTATTGATAGAACTGGAGCAACAGTGTTTGCAGAAATTCAGGGCTATGTATGTTTTATAGTGTTTCTCATAAATATTGATTATATGATATATTAATATATATAATTAATCTTTTAGATTGATTGTTGTATAAAATTAAGTGGTATGCCAGATCTCACTCTTTCATTTATGAATCCAAGATTATTTGATGATGTTAGCTTTCATCCTTGCGTTCGATTCAAAAGATGGGAGGTACATATGTGAATAATGTAACATTATGCTTGGTGTGAAAATTAATTTTTAAGTTTATGTCTTGTTTTAGTCGGAGAGAATACTTTCCTTTATTCCACCTGATGGTAATTTTCGCCTTCTTTCGTATCACATAGGATCACAAAGTATTGTAGCAATCCCTATATATGTAAGACATAATATTAGCCTAAAAGAACCAGGAGGTGGTAGATTAGATATCACTGTTGGACCAAAACAGACTATTGGTAGGACGGTAAGTTTTATTAAGTTATCTTTTTTAAATATACATGATTGTTAAAGTTTACTATCATTATAATTATTACTAATCATTATAGGTTGAAAACGTAACTCTAGAAATTCCCATGCCAAAGATAGTTTTGAATTGCACTTTAACTCCAAACCAAGGAAAATATTCTTTTGATCCTGTCAGCAAAATATTGCTGTGGGACATTGGAAGAATTGACGTTTCCAAGCTGCCAAATCTCAGAGGATCGGTAAGATAATTATATTAAGGCCTTTAAAGCCTTTAAAGATATTTGACTAATAATTATATTATTATGAAATTTTATATTTTAGATAACGATACAAAATTCGACAACTGTTACTGAATCAAATCCTGCCATTAATGTATGTATGTGTATATATATATATATATATATATATATAAAATGCCATTAATATGTGTATAATATATGTATGGTATATATTGTTAAGTGAGATTAACAATTTAACATTATAATTTCAGGTGCATTTTACGATAAATCAATTAGCAGTATCTGGATTGAAAGTCAATCGGTTAGACATGTATGGTGAAAAATACAAGCCATTTAAAGGTGTAAAATATATCACTAAAGCTGGCATATTTCAAATAAGAATGTAAATATATACGCTAAAAATTATAAATCATCCTTTTTACATTAAACATATAATATATAATATCTTATAACATTATATGTATGAACAGATTAAATGTGAATTTACATGACATTAAAGGTATATAATTTACAGTAATGACTATGTACAAAAATTAGAATATTAAGGGCCGCTGGTTGTTTCACCTTTTGATAACCTATTGAGTAAATCTGACAATTCGTGCATGTAATTGAGTAATCTTGCTATTTACCCAACAGGTAAAATTTACCAAAAAGTGGAACAACCGGCCCTAATACGACGAGAATGATGTTAAATAAACTTAACAATTTAATTGAACCAAGATACATCTGTTGTCTATTTTATGTTTCACTGCATGAAACGAGATCGAATATGAGAAAAATAAACAGCTCTACTTTAATATAATAATCTTACTTACAATAATAAACTAACGAACTACAACATTAATAGATATAAGATATTGAGAATCCTTCATGTTGATGGTTGACATAATAACTTTTTTGCCTCCAAATCCTCCCATGTTGGATGAGTAGCATACGTATATAATCGCTCCATATTAGTAGCATATATAGTATGATTGCTAACAAGATTTTTATAAATCTATTTGGGAAATAAAACCAATTAAAATATGACTTTAATACGCAATGATGAAAGGAATATACAATTTTTATTTATTATTACCTTTAATGCATATTGCAAATCGGCCGTGCTTACTGGTTTTAACAGTGGACGAGTGATTTGTGTAGAACAAGCATATGAAAAAGCAGTGGCTTGTTCAGCTTCTTCGAAACTTGATTTTGATGCAGGAATTTGGCCATAAGTATCTATTACTTCTGTCGGTCTGTGTTTTAAGATGGCTCCAATGTTAATCATATACAACATTTAAATCAGTGCTTGCAACTTACCCAAAATTATGTGAATTTATATACATGGAGTTTCTTTTCCACGAGCTAGGTACTGGTTCTCCTATATTATAAATGAAAGTACTGTCTCGAACAGCATAGCCCTTTCTACGTGTGAAAATTGCAGTGAGTATATTTTTCAAGAAAATTTGTGTTGCTGCTATGACAATATGCGCGGTATTTTCTTCAGCCCCATCCATATTATTTTCCCACGCAGCGAGCATTAATCGAGCTAATACAAAAGTACGATCTGGCAATACGAGTTCTTGGGCGCTAGAGCGATTGGCACCTATAGGCTCGTCTCTGACAGGTGATGAAGCTTGACCTAATACTTCCACATACATGTCCGCTGGCTGTTATAAAGAAATAATATAAATAGACATATTTATATGAATGAGTCAATAAGTAATTTTAATTTTTACCATAATTGTTGAGGACAAAATTATGATTACTTATTGATTCGCCTACTGCATTGATATTGCAATATTATATCTACAAACCTCAAAGTTTGATTTGTCAGTCTTGTATTTGCGTTTTAATCTCAGTCTTCTCTCCTTTGAAATTTTATCCCTGTCTATCTTGGTTGGTGTAACAGCGGCTAATCCACGAACCTTATTAAAGAGACACAGCAAGAATTCATTGTGTAAATGAACTTGATCTTCTGTCATGAGATTACGTGCTTCGCAATCAAATTCTTCTTTTGTAGTCTAAAACAACGATTGTATATAATATACAAAATATATAAATTTGACAAAGTTAATTGAAAAATTTTATATACTTTCATTTGGAACCATAGCTTCATCTTTTCGAAATACCTATCAATAATCATAAAAATAAGATTATAAGCCATAGTTATAGGTTAAGTTTATTTTTTCGTATATCAATAATGCGTCTACTTATTTTGTTTAAAATAGGAAAACATACACTTTTGCATTTTCACCAAGTGATGCCACGAGGCTTTTCCTAGCCAAATTTAATTCCTTTGAAGTAGTCATTCTGACAATCTTTTTCTTGTTATTGTATGTAAGTTATATGAGTGTTTTGAAATCTCAAATTAAGGAAGGTTATGATTGACTTAGGTAAGAAAGGTTAGGTAAAAAACGTAGAATTAACAGATGATTAAAAGGAATTAAATTGAATTTGAGAAAATTGAGGAACTAAATTGAATTTTAAATTGAATTAAAAGGCAATCTTATATATTATTTATATCATTTTATATAACTTTATTTGCTTTGGAGGCTGTTAGAAAATAAAAGTTGATTTAGAAAATTTCGAATGTTATTTTTAATGTAAAAATTATATACAAATACACTTCATAAATAATGATTCTACTAGAATCTCTTCATATTTATCAATAGACTTTGTTCTTATAATTGTGTAAAAATATAATACAGAGAGCATTTGCTATATAACTTAAAAATTATATAAAATTTGTATCAAATTAAAAAAAGAAATACATTTACCTATACACAAAGAAGTAACAAAAGTACAAAAAGTCATTAATATTTGTATATACACATATCAAATTCATTTTTTTACAATAGTTTTTCCTATACAATTACGATACTTTCAACTGTTTCCTGCTTAATTAGTTTTATATTATTTTAGGCAGAATTATTTAAAAATTCGACGCATGTAAAGAGTATTCTACTTCTAATTGCAATCATGTACCGAGTATATAGAATTCATCAAAGGATCTACCATTCTCGACCGAGCCAATCTTCGGAATTCTTTTTCCTATTTTTACGACCTTTCTTCCTATGTCATCTGCTTTCTCTGGCTGAAATCTTTGACCGAATGAGATCCCATGTTATCAATGAAGCGTTCGCTCTCGTGCATAAATCCATGATGAGTGGAGTATTTCTTACATTGCGCATCACTCCTAAGCAGGTTCCTGTTGCCATATTGTAGATAGGTGTAGCATTCTACAACGATAAAATATTAAAAATTCTCAGTAATTGTCGATATAAATATATATTGCTATTTATTAAACTAATAAGTGTAAAAAAATGAGACAAAATTTCTAGTGATTATAAGAAAAAGAAAACATTTGCTAATGTAACGTAAACGGTCAAGAACTGTTGCATCAATAAGTCTTACAATACGCTTATGACGCCAATCTTGACTTCCTCCCATTTCATGACACTTTCCAAGTTTTGGAATTTTCTCAGCTCCTTCCATGCAAAGAATCTGGCCAAGTACCAATTCATTTTTATCGGTCTCATACCACATCTATAAAAATGTACATGTAAACTTGAAAAATGACAAAAAATTTTCTTTTTTTCTTTTCTCGTTTGATGGCAATGCCTACCTGTGATTTAACTCTTAAACACGGCATCAAGATAAGTTTGGAGCCTTTAGTTTTAATATCTTTTTCACTCTGAATACAAAGCGCGGTATTTGAAAGTCTGATTTGATACTGGTCGGTATAATTTCTTTTCCTCGAATGCCAAGGTTGCATTGGTCTTTGATCAAGTTTGGCCCACTTATCCTTGAGCCTCCTTTCTGTATCATCTGGCAATGTTAATTCAGGATAAACCACCTTCAAATACCAGCCGAATGTTTTACATTTTAATTTCTGTCGCAACGCTAATCGCTCTGAGATATCGCCGTAATCAATTGTTTTAGCATTTTTCAGGAAGTAATCTTTATATTCGTCCATCCATACATGCGCAACTCGCAAAGAATTTTTTAACATAGTGTCTTGTGGATCATCCGAACCATATGGCCGTCGTCTTCTAAATACGTGACCCACTCGTGAACAGGGAATAAGCTCGATACTGCCACCACACATCCATATCTAGAAAAAGAAGTTAATAACATTACATATATATGGCAAAAAAAAAACAAATATAAAGAATCAAATATAATCAATACTTACTCGGAATGATATTTCAAGATTCTCTCCACCCCAAATGTCCATACCGATGTCATATTCTCCCATCTTTGTAAAATATTCTCTGTCAATAGCAAACAATCCACCAGCCATAGTTGGGGATCTATTAATAAGAAATATTTATTTGTAAAAAAGACTATATATAAGTAAATTGAAATTTTTAAAAAGTGGCTTACCAATACAAAATATAATGCTCCCTTTTATTTATATTTTGTATATAAGTATTATATATAATTTTTATAATTAAGCACATTTATATGAGGATATAAAAATTATCTTACTTGATGGGCTTTACAAAATCGACGTCATGATTTAATGTTCCAACTGGTAAATTATCCCACTTAAAGTGAAGACCCCAATTAAAGCCACCTCTCACTAATGGACTCCCGGTATACTGAAATGTATCTGCATTTATAATATCAATCACTGGCATCGGTACTATATTTCTCGAATAAGCAATCCTTGAAAGAAGCGGCTCAATCCACATTTCATTTACTTCTATGTGACTATCCAAAAAGATCAAAACTTTGCCAGTTGCTTTCCTAGCTCCAAACACCCGCGCTCTGATCAAACCTTCTCTTCTTTCAGTCTTGAATAATTGTACTCTGTCATCGAAATTGTTTCTAATATATACTTTTATCTTCTCATGCAACGTATCGCTGTCGCTATAATCATTCACTAAAATAATCTCATGTAGAAGTGCTGTTGGTGTTTTCTCAAGCACAGAATGCAAGGATCTCAATAGGGTTGTATAATGCTCGTTGTAAAAACAAATAACTATACTAGCATTTGGCAAATTGGCAGGATATTTTTGCATTTTGCACAGCTTGTGCCTCGTATCTGGTATATTTCTTTGCACGCCAAGGTTGTCTGATATCAAAATATTAAAGGCATAGTCTTTATAACCCTCGTCCCTTTTCCGTTGATCCTCCAAATTTTTCACCATGCCTAATTCATCTAAATCTATTAAAATACTTTGCTTGATTTTGGATTTGACAATTCAATAATAATTTAGAATATTAACATTGTCAATATACCTTGCTCCAAAGTGACTGCAGGTTTTACTGGAACAGCCTGAAGTTGCTGCAAGATCAGGTCATTTTTCCTGAGGTTCTTATTGTTCTTTAAGTTATAGGCTTCCTTACCAGCTAATATTTGTTTCTCATTGCGTGCAATGATAACATTGTCACGCAGCATAATCTCTTTGTCAATACTTTCTCCATGTTTAGAAACGATAGGAATCAATATTGTGGGACTAGTGCTGATAACATTTTGTGACAGTCTTGAATAAAGATACAAGCTGAATGCCCATGTTAGAGAAGCTATTATTATCCCTGATAGGAATGATACATATCTTGTTGATATCATCTGTCAAACAAAAAATAAAAGATCAACGATCACTTAGCTATTTCTTTAGTTAGGCAATTGTTTCCTACATTCTAAGAAATTTGCAGATTAATTTTTTGATGAATACTCACCGCACCGTTATAATTCAATTACACACACAATCCGAGATCAGGCTGTCGGGCATGCGAGCCCAGTCCCACCCAATGAACCTAGTCCAACAGAGTCTGGGACACGTATGGGTCTCTGAAAACAGAGAGCTATGTTTTCACTGAAAACTAGTGCAGCACTGATGCAATTGAGTGCAAATGGGTTTATATTTTTTTTTGGCGTTAATAAATAATTTTTTTTTTTGTAAGACGCCGGATAGTGGACATTAATGTGTTTTCAAGTAATCCTTTTAAGGTTATGACAATTAAGTATATGTAAATAAAAGAATCAAATTATTTATTGACACTGAAAATATGTGAATCGATTTGCATTCACCTGCACCGTAATGTGCAGCAGTGCTGCACCAGTTTTTCCAATAAAAAACGCTATAAAAAGAAACTGCAGATATCGAGCGCCACCTAGCGTCATCTACCGCAATGCCACCGAACAGTGCCGAACATTGCCGAGAATTGCCGAACGCAACAGCGCTCCGCTCGGTACGTACAAACACTCATCGATCAGAGGTGCATTGGCTGATTTTGTCGGTTCGCTGTCAGTTCGCGGTAGCAAAAAAATTGCTGGAGATTTTGACAATTGGTATAGTGACAGTTTATTTAAATTGGCACGGCAACAGTCGGCGCGCTGACACTTTTGATTGACATCTATCGGTAAGTCTTGCTTTACTTGACAAATATATTCGTCATAAAATCAGCGTGCAATCTTCCATGTTATTAATCATCAAGCCGTGAGTAGACGCTTCTTACCCTATTACTGCTAATTATAACTTAATTGTACAATGCCCTTAACGTACGTAGCCGGTACTAAAATTATGTAGCCGTATTAAAATTACATAGAAGCATCTAAAAGAAGGATGGTTCGACTAATTAAACGTGATATATGCTTTCAACAATAGATATGTTTTTTATAGCTCAACTAGTGCACACTCCTTATATTTAAAGTTGTGAGATAAAGTTATTTTTGACAAAGCGAGAAGAAAAGTTTTAACGTAATCGAATGTAGTAATAAAAAACAAATCCAATATTAGTGAAATGTTTTCTGTATAAAAATAATAAACATGTATGTATCTTTTGTTCTTAGATGTAGGATATATATACACATTATATTTGCTCTTGGATATCTATCATGCTATTATCTTTGTGATACATTATACTTTCGCAATATGATGCAATGTATTCTGCGAAGACAATTGATACTGAACTGATTTAAAATATTGTTATTTGTTGAAATAGGCTATGCAGTTTTGAAATATGAATCAGAGTTGAAAGACACTGTCTGTTACAAAATTTAAGAATTTCTCTCATATAAAAATGATAAAACACACAAGAGATTTAAATATTAAGCTTCAGTATGTGATAAAAATTTGTTTGTGCTGAAAAAAATTTATTTAATCTTAATATTTCTTTAAATAGTACTAAGTAAACGTTTATTTATAATAAATAAATATTTACTTAATAAAAATGATTCAAATTAATAGTTATTGTATTTATTGTTATATATATATTTACATTTAGTAAATATTTATTTACAACTGTTTAAATATATACGTATTTACTTAAAATTTGATTTCTTTTCAATTATATGTTATATAGCATTTAATCTTAAACTCTTCTCCTCTTGTTATCTTGATTTTTT